TAATTCTACATGGAAGGTTTAAATAATGATTAAAGAATACATTAATTAGTATAATTTAGGATTTTAAAGAAATCGGAAAACTAGATGATAGAACCTCTAAAATGTATAAATACGTTGTAAATTCCTCTTTCATGTAATCTTTAGTTTTTAACTCAAATATTATTATAAATAAACCTTGACCTTGTCCTTGTTAACTTCAAACATTATATTTTCGTAATGATAATAAATCTACCCCTAACGACGAATTTATACTAATCCCGTGCATAATTATTTTCTCTTATTTTATATTTGTCTCTATTAATTTTATTATTTTTTATTTCTTTTCTTTTCTTTTAGTGAGGTAATATTAATAAACCTTATTTAGTAGTTTTGGAGACGTACCTGACTTGGTAGTAAAAAGGAAAACGGCTAGAAAGGCACACACCAAGAAACGTGATCAGGATACATAGTGTAAAATCTAAAGATATTGTTTAGTATTTCTTAGTATAAGAAATTGTTTAATGATAGTAAAAGATAGTTTTGAGAGTAAAGCATAAATATAGATTCGCGGAAATTGAAGGAGTCAACCAGGCCAAGGTTGGGCGACGAAAATATTTTGGAGTGTAAAAAGTATTTCATCAAATGGTGCACATGTGACAAAAAGTGACAAAGGGTAAAGTCAAAAGTCAAAATTATGATAAAGATAACAAAAGTATAAGATTCTATCTTATTTTAGATTTAATTAAAACAAAAATTTTAATCTTAAACATTTTCCTGCATCGTAAATCATGTTGTTACAGGTAATGAACGAATGGGTTTTTAAGATCAAGTTGATTTCCAAATTTAGTAAAATCCCAACTGTACTGCGTGATATTGATATTAAAAAAATGTCCAAATTATTCAAACACTTGGAAAATTTTAATCGTCTATTTGATGAGACTTTTGATTATCAAAGAGATGGTTTACCATTAAGATATGTCAGCAATGTTATCAATGATTTTGCAAAATTGTTAAATGAACCTAATTTTCATGATGTGGAAATTAAAATAGGAGAAGACCAGGATATTAAAACTTTTAAAGCCCATTCTATAATTTTAAGATCAAGGTCTTTGTATTTCAAAGCAGCCTTATCAACTGTTTGGGTGAAAAGATCTGTTGATGGTATTATTTTACTTGAAAAAGATAACATTTCGCCAAAAATATTTGAAATTCTTTTAACGTAAGTTTTATTAAATCAATTATTTCATGACTATTATTGTTATTATTGTTATTCATTTACATGTAATAATATATATTGTGTTAAAAAGATATATTTATAGCGGAATCATTGATATATTTCATTTGAATCCAAATGAAATTTTAGAACTTCTTAAAGCCTGTGATGAATTATGCTTCGATGAATTAATTAGTGACTTACAAATCCATTTAATTAATAATAATATGAAATGGTTTCGAGAAAATTTAGTTTATCTCCATAACATCTCTTCAAAGTATCAATCATTCAATACAATCAATAATTATTGCAAAGAAGTGATTGACGACTATCCAGAATTATTACTATCAAGTCCAGATGAGATTGCAGAAATTGAAAAACCTATTCTTATATCTTTATTGAAGAGAAATGATTTACCATTGAAAGAGATTGATATTTGGGATTGTGTGATTCAATGGGGAATTGGACAAAATAAAGATTTGGTTGGAAAAGATATTTCAAAATGGAATGACAATGATGTTATAAACTTGAAAAATATGTTGCATGATATTATTCCATTAATAAGGTTCAAGAAAATCTCTCCAAATGATTTTTATGGTAAAATTACACCTTACAAAGAAGCTTTCAATAAAGAAATATACGAAGAACTTGTTCAATATTATGGTGATGATGGTGATGATGTGAAAGTCGATAGTAAAGAATCACAATTAAGTTGGATAAATCAAAATGATCCAAGAACAGGGCAACTAAAATTATTATGCTTGGAAATTAAATATTTAATTGCAAGCTGGGTTGAATTTGAAGACGATATTCTTGAAATAGATCAATTGGAATATGATTTTAAATTAATTTATTCTGCAACTCGGGATGGATTTGAAAAATTTGATTTTCTGAAAAGGTGCTATAATGTTGAAAGAACAGTAGTTCTTATGAAGATTAAAGAAACTGGAGAATTAATCGGTGGATTTAATTCAGCTTGTTGGAGTAATCCAGAAAGATGTTCTTTTGATAATTATTTTATTAATGCAGATGAAAGTTTTGTTTTTAAGATTGATAAAAATCAATTAAATAATTCAATATTAGGTAGAGTTAAGGAATATGAATTTGCATTACGTTATGATGGTGAATTTGATGGTTTTGTAGAGGATGATATAGAACTTCATGAAATTATTATAAATTTCTTCGATTTAACAGTATTTAGAAGCTCTGATGGTGATTTTTATTGCCACTATAAAAATACCGGTCATTACGATTATGATGGTAAACCGAATCTTGTATATAAAAATAACGATTCAATAATTCTTATAGAGGAATTTCAAGTGTATAAATTAAGTGAAAAAAGTAATTATAAAAAATAAATAAATAATTCATAAATTAATGAATGATCTTCAAAACAGCTCAATCTCCCTCTTAAAAATTATTTATTAACTTCATCCAATATTCAATAACTTTAAAATGGCGATGGCAGCTTCTGTAAAAAACCGGAATGTAATACCCAATGGTTTTTCTTAAAAATATGCTTTGAGCTTTTTTCCATGAAGAATTTAAAACTGACATTTCAACAATTTATATAGGCCCGGTTACCACCTGAAGTAAATCGTGTATTATTTGTCAGAAATCTTCCATTTAATATTACTTCAGAAGAAATGTATGATATTTTTGGAAAATATGGAGCCATAAGACAAATTCGATTGTGAGTAGTAGTAAATAATGGAAATTATATATTATAGCATGTCTCATTTCATAGGCAGATATATAATAATATGATTTAAATTTAAAAATTAATTTCGTTGATTTTTAAAAAATTTAGAGGTTGTGAAAAAGATACACGCGGTACAGCATTTGTTGTATATGAAGGTATTCATTCTAGTTTAGAAATTTTTGTTTTTATTTTACAGTAAGTAATAAATTAAATTTTTGTTTTTTTTAATAAAAGATATATTTGATGCCAAAGCTGCATGTGATCATCTTAATGGATTTAATGTTATGGGGAGATACCTGATAGTACTATACTATCAACCTAACAAAGTTACTAAAAAGATGAATTTACAGAAAAAGGAAGAAGAGTTGAAAGAATTAAAAAGGTAATTTTTAAAGAGAAATTAGGTATTCTTTTTATTCTATTTTCTAATATCTAATTCTTTTTTAATAGTCGTTACGGTGTTTCAGAGAGTGATTAAATTGGGGAAAACCAGAGTTGAATATTATTATTAAAAAAAATTTTCCTTGGATCCTTGGATTTTCATTTGATCAAATAATCCAAATCTTATTACTTGGTCTAATGGACAATTTTCAACAATAACCTGAGTATTTAGTTATTAATGTTATTTGCAAATAAATTTACATATGCGTTTATTTCTAATTTTTTTATATTAACTTGCTATTATTGCACGGTTATCAATTATTACCAATCATCACATCCTTCACTATGGGTTATAACAATTAATTTTTGTCGAAAATGACATGATTCCAATGATCGTCTTAAGTTTTATGAATTACTTTTTAGAGTTTACAAGTTGAGGGGGATGTAAATTTTAATAGTTGCTGATAGAAGCGGCATTTAGATGAATTGCTGTAGTAATTATTGAAGAAGGATCATATCCATTTAATCAACATATTTTTAAAATTGATTTAATCATCTTTGTCCTTTATAAAGCACATAATAATGATCATTATGATATCTTTTACCAAACAAAAGATTATTCAAAGAAGCATGGCAATCTTTATTATCTTTATAGCAGCTGGTCGTTTGCATCCATGCATCTGGAGTGTTGTTAGAAAATCCAGATTTTACTCTCTACAAATAGCTTTAAATCATGCACAACGTTGTTGAAGGGCTGGCATTAATATTCCAAAACAGTACATGTCGAATGTAATTATGTGCATTCCCAACTCTTAAAACTTCAGTTGTTACATATTATAGTATTCCAAAATATATCATTTTTATATTTAATCAGCAGATAGAATTCCAAAATAAATACTTTGAATAAATTATTCTTGAAAAATATTACCACTATGAATATCATAATGAATGTATAAATCCCTTTTAAACAATCGATAAAGTAATTATATTTTATTTTTACATCTTAAAACTTTTGTCAAATAATTCTGAAACTTACATTTTCTTCATGTCGCATTACAAAAATATAAGCTTTTGTGTTTGGATCTTGTGTTAATCCATAAATAAGAATTATATGACATAATTTGATATATTTGGTTAACTAATAAAAATTATATATATATATAGTTAATATTAATAATTAATAATAATAAAGAAAAAAAATATATATAAATTACCTCATTTATAAAATCTTCTGAAATATTTTGGGAATTATGTATTTTTTTTAAAGTAACAACCATATCTCTACTACACCTTTTATTTGTTCTAACATCTAAATATTTATCACCTTTTATCCAATTAGCTTTGTATACAGTCGAAAAAACACCTTCACCTATTTTTCTAATATCTTTTAAATTATCATATGGAATCCATCGAAGATGATAGCCATTATATTCTTCCGTTTGAAGTTGTGTCCCTTTAATTATTTCATCTATTGTTTTATTACCACTGGTCCACCCTTGCGTTAATAGTTGCGGATCGCATAATTTACACCACGAGTAATTAGTATTATATTTATTGCAAGTTGAACAATTACCATATCTTTTATTACTGTCATTTAAATATTCTTCTTTTGAAGTTTTTTTATTATTTAACGCTTTTTTTATTTTTTCCATTTTTTTTTTTTTTTTTTTTTTTTTAATTGTATTATAGTATATAAATAAATTTATTAAAGGAAAAAAAATTACCTTTTCAAAAATCAATTATTGACATTTTCAAGTTACATCAATTATTGTTTTGTTTGGGAATAATTTATATTTCTAGAAGTTTTCTATTTCTAATATAATACATAATAACACAATAAATAATAATGGACATTATAATACATAATTTTTTTTTCTTTTTCTTCAAGAGAGAAAAAAAATTATTTTTAAAAATATAAATATATATATAATCGACATAATAACAATGCCACGAAGAACTTCTGTCCCATTGCCAACTGTCCCGTTATCAGCCCCTTCAACTACAGCACCTTCACAATTATTAGCACGGCGGCGACGACCATTACGAACTCGATCAATGACACAACAATATCCAACATATGTACTGAATAATCCACAATTATTTCCAACAGCAACCCCCTCAAATAACATTAATTTCCAACAACAACAACAGCGGCAACAGCTTCAACAAGAAATACCCTCAAAGTCATTTTTGTCCTTTCCGGATCTATCCATAAGATTACCATTTCAACAACAAATAAAACCTCAAGAATTCGTTTACTCTTGGTCAATACGAGGCTTTCAGGATTTGGTCAAATTAATGCCCAACAACACTTTTTTATACAGCGACAGAATTAAATCACCTAGAGGCATAAATGATACAAGTTGTTTAAACCCACCACCGCCACAACAACATCAACAACAAAATTTAAATCCAATGTTATCATCAAATCTTACAACGGAGCCATCGTCAATGATAACGACGGCTGATGAAGATTCTGATTATGCTTGGCGAATGAGAATTTATCCAAATGGAATACATGATCATCCAAATCTTGTATCGTTATACTTGGAAGCAATTCAAACACCTTTTGAAAAAAATAATTGTTGCATCGAAAGAAATAACATCGAATTCAAATTTTTAGTTTATCGCATAAAAAACCCTTCAAACGATTCATTGTCGCCATCATCATCGTTTTCATCAACAGCAACGACAACATCAATTGATTCTTCGAAGGATTCTTTATCTTTGGTGTATGAAACTAACACGCAAAAATTTGATTTTGATTTACAAGGTGCACGTGTTATCAATGGGTTCCCTTCAATTGGAACATTCCAGAGTTTGTTTTCCTCTCCATTGGATCTCTGGTTAAATAACAGTAGTAATGTTAATGGTAATAGTAATACAATCGACAATTTTAATATTAATAACTTTTATAGTAATGATGATATTACCACCAATAATAATCATAGGAGGAGTAGTAGTAACGATAGCATTAATCTAAATAGTGTTCAAGGAGAAGAAATTAATTTATTAGTAAAACTTCATATTTATACCTATACTAAATCACAGTTTCAAGATTATTATAAAGGATTCAATAATGAACAATCTTTAACTACATTCGAGAGATTTTACAATCATGACGCTTATTTTGATGTGGAATTTACATTTGAAGAGGAAAATTATAATAATGCTAATACAAAAAATTCTATAAAAGCTCATCGTATAATACTTTCACAACGATCAGAATATTTTGACAAATTATTTAATGATAATAATAGTAATAATAGTGGTGGTGGTGGTGGTGGTGGTGGTGGTGGTGGATGTAGTTTGAAGATGCCAATAAAGCATGTAAAATATGAAACGTTTAATGCAATAGTTTATTATTTATATTCTTTGAAATTAAAGGATAATTTATCATTTGATCTGCTAAAAGATATTTACATCAATTCTGGGATAATGGGATTAGAAAATTTGTGTAAATTAGCAGCTGATCAATTGGTAAATTTGATAAATTATGATAATTGGGATCAAGTATTAAAAGTTGCTTGGGATTCAGATATTTTGTCTAGTAAATTACAATTAAAGAAATCAGCTTTAGATTTTGTACATGGTAATTGGTCAATTATAAGAAATACTGAAAATATGAAACAATTATTAGCTTCTGCAACTATAGAATGTATAGAAGAACTAATGGAAACCAAAATATTTGGTACTCCAAAATGATTTTTTATTGCTTTTAGAAAAAACATTTAATTTATTATTTAAAGATAATTTTGTATTATTTATTATCTATCTATATATATGTAAAAAATGAAATTGTATTTTATTTTTTTTAAAGAAAAATTGTAAATTAAAGAAAAAAATCCTTTTTCCACCAATAAAGTTATATAATAGAATGATCATATCATTATCATTATCATTATCTAATTTCAATGTTCAGGATCTTTATATCTTCATATGGTTTATCCATCTTGTCAGTTTTAATATTTTCTATGGTGTGAATAACATCCATACCAGCAGTTGCACGTCCAAATATTGTATGTTTATTATTAAGCCAAGGCTTATTTTCCCCATAAAAAAAAGTTATTAGCTTTTTTACAAATCGAATTTTCTAATTCAAGAAAACTAATATTATTACTTACTGTAGGAACAATTGTGATGAAAAATTGTGAACCATTAGTATTTGGTCCTGCATTGGCCATACTAACAGTATACGGACAATCATGTTTAAGATCATGATGAAATTCGTCTTCAAAATCTGTTCCCCATATTGATTCTCCTCCAGTACCATCACCTTTTTTTTAAAAAAAATAATCAATTATTAATTAAATCAAAAAAGATAAATTTAATATATACAATCAAGAATATATATAATTAAATCATACCTAATGGATCACCAGTTTGAATCATAAATCCTTTAATTATACGATGAAAAATTACATTGTTATAATAACCATTTTTCGAATGTGTAACAAAATTCTCAACAGCCTTTGGTGCATAGTCCGGGAACAGTCTGATATGAATGTCACCGGCCGTTGTACGTATTATGGCCGTGTGTCCCAATTTTTGTTTTGTGGGCGTTGCAGTAGCTACAGTTTGTTCTTCACGTGATGGCTTCTCATTATAAACATCTCGATCACCTTTATGTGAATCTTGACTATTTAGATATATAAAAATGAATATAGATGTGTGTAAATATATTTTGCATAATGAATCATCTTTTTAATTTTTGAAAAAAAAAAAAATTCTATTACTAACGCATCAGGTTCTCGAGTTGTAAACATAAAGAATCGATTTCGTTTATATGCCGTACAAAATAATGTGGGGTCTGTTACCTCACTTTCTTTCATTAAAGGATTGTCAGATGCAGCCAATGCCTAAATAAAAGACTAATTAATTGGAATTATATGAGACAGTTTTTATTTATTTTTTAAAAAATGGGATGATTTCTAGCAAGATGTGGTTAGGAACATAATAAAATTTTTTTTGAGTAACAGTCCCTGCAAAATTATGTTATTTGATATTCATATTAAATTTCAAAGTCTTATGTCTCATTATTATGCTAAGCAAACATGGTTGATTTTCTCACAAGTTGTAATATAGATATATTATGCAATAACTCAATTTTGGTCAGAGAGGTTCCTAATCACATATTACTAGAAATCTCCCAAATGCCAACTTACCAAAGTAATCAAAGATTTTTTCTTTGGTGCTCCTTGATACAATCCAATATTTAAAAATCGATGTGATTCTGTCTTACCAATTAACCTTACCACTTTATTTGTACTTAAATTAACAACTTGAAAAAAAAAAATGAAAAATTAATATTGGTATTGATATAAATATTAAGAATAATTTCATCACGTTTATTTTGTTGAAACATACCTTTAATTCCCAACATTGTGGGATAAATTATAAAATTACCACTTTCATCAAACACTTGTCCCGCCAAAAAAATATTTTCATTAACATCTTAATTTTAAAAATAAATTTCTTATTGAAATTTGAAAATGCTCAAATCAATTATTATTACCTGCGTTCATAGTACTTGCTTGTAGAGTTTTTTCTAATTCGCGTTCAACAGCCAATCGTCGACCGAACTCCATGTCATCTAATTTATAAATAGTTGTTCCAGCCTATGAGACGTCATCTTTGACTGTTTAGATAATCATTTAAAAGATATAATATATATTTATATACATTTTTTACATAAAATCTACACAAACCTGTTGCATTTCACTTATAACAGACAACGATTCATCATATTTTCTTGTCATCTTCCCCGTTTTAAATTTAAAGACTCTAATTTGATGATCTCCAATGCTCATAGTAACAAATTGTTCATTGTCTTGAGAAAATGACAAAGATGTTGGCATTGTTTTAGCCTTTAGAGAACAAAAAAAAAATGTTTGAGGAAGTAAGTTTTTTTTAAAACAAAATAAAAACTATCATTTGGTAAAGGTTACCTTTTTGAATTCATAAAGATCTGTATCAGATTTATATTCAAATGAAATTGATTTTGGTAATTCAAATGGTTCTTCCGGTTCCCAATATTCCATCATCCCAGATGTATCTACTGACACAACACAATGGTAGAGTTCATTATACTATAAAAACATTTAAAAAAAATCAACCTTAATTTATACAAAAAAATTTTTCTTAAAAATAATCACATTAATATTACATACTGCCATCACATGAACAGGGCTTGAATGCATTGTTAAAATACGATGTAATGGTTGACCATCTCCTCGACCATCATAAATATAAATGTTCCCAGAATCATGATCAGAACTATCAAAAAGAAATTTGATTTAAATATTAATTCAATATTAAAAGAAAACCATATCCCCATTTAAATTAATATTATGAACTAATTATTCACCATGCAACTAAAGGTTGTGCTTGACCACTTCTATGAATCCAACAAACACTATTTGGTACATAATTTAATTTTATCATGTTGATCATGTCTAAAAAATAAGATTTATATTTATTTGATTTTTATCATAAAATTCAAAAAATTCAAATAATTTTAAAAAAAAGTCATACCAAAATTAACAATATCATACACTTTTAATGATTTGTCAATCCCAATTGAAGCAAATAATAACCCATCGGCTGATACAGATATACCAGAAATGTTTCCTAAAAATCAAAAAGTTATAAAATATTTATTAATAAGAAAAAAAAAAATTATTATTATTATTATTATTTACCTAAATGTGACCGGAAATGTTTAACAAATTCAATTCCTTTGCCACTTTTCTTCCAAAATTTCAAATGCCCATCAACAGATGTAGTTATTATAAATTCAGTCCTATATAATAAATATTATATAAATGTACACACACACATATATATATCAATAATCAAATAACTATGAAAAAAAGAATGAGAAAGCTTTTTACTTTGTAACCATTACATAGCCCAAAACATCACGATGCATATAGCTTCGTTCGTACATATCAGAAGAAGGTAAATGATCCAAATACAATTTTTCATGAATTAAAACTAAAAATAAAATTATTATATTATTATTATTATTAAATAATTGGATAAATGGATGATGGTTTTCCAAAAGAGGGATATATTTTAGTTGACTTACCTCGTTTCTTCTTTTTCGGTAAATTTTCTGCTGTTGGTA